TCGGGGACTCAACCGCTACCTCCTTCTGGCATTGAAAGGGGCCAGAAAACCAGCACGGAGACGTGGGCCTCACGTCACCAGCGTCCTGGCTGCGCAGGGGAAGGGGGTCCTCTGGCAGGCCTGGGGGCCTTGCTAAAATTCAGCACATGAAGCCAGGCATGGTGGGGCACACCTGCAATCCCAGGATTCTGGGAGGCTGAGGCAGGAGGATCACAAACTTAAGCCAAAGCAATTTAGTGACTTAGACACAAAAAGAATTAAGATGTTTGTGCTAATAGTGTTTGGACAATTAAATGCTGACATCTTGTACTCTTGAGTAATTTATTTATTTGGTGTCGGGAATTGAACTCAGGGTCTTGCACTTGCCAGGCAGGCGCTTACACCACTGAGCTATATCTGTGGCCCCAAAGAAAAAACACTGCACTGTTTCTTCAGATTTTGAAAAGCAAGGAAAGGGTGCCAGGCGTGGTACACGCGTGTAATCCCAGCACTCGGGAGGCTGAGGCAGGAGGATCGTTGCGAGTTCGAGACCAGCCTGGGCTACAAAGTGAGCTCAAGGCCAGCCTGAACTGCATAGCGAGACCCTGCCTCAAAAAAGACAAAAAACAAGGAAAGGAGATGCCTGTCCGTCTAGAACCACCAGCTTTTCGGTTAACAGCTGAACGCACTAACCGACTGCACCACAGAGATGGCACTTGAGTAATTAATTTAAAGATAACAAAACACAGGGTATTCACCATTGTTACTCTCCTATTATCTTGTTTTGCAATTTTATTTTTTTCCTCTTTAAAATAAAAATATAAAAAAAGTATAGTTCAAAAAAGAATTAAGATGTGGCATGTCCATGTACCAGAACGTTCTCATCATGTACTACACACAGGTACTAATAGAAATTAAAAAGTTGAAAACCAGAAAATCCTAATGTTTTGTAAAATTAATTGGCATTAATAAAAATACATATTTAAACATAGGCAACAAAGAAAGAAAAGATAAAAGGGTTAGGGATGTGGCTCAGTGTGCAGGCCCTGGGTCTAGTACCCCAAAAAGAAAAAAGAATCAGAAATGGCTCGGGCGCCTTCCAGAGCAGCCTGAGTAAGCTGCGCCCGGGCTGCGCGCGTGCACGCGTGAGGCGGCTGGCTGTGGTCGGGGTCTGGGTGGCCTGGGCTTTGTCACTGACTGCGTCCTGGAGGAGACTCGGGGCCGCGGGGATCGTGACACTGTGTGTGGGCTGTGACAGGCAAGGCCCTGGGTGCTCTGGCCCTGGTGTGGTGGCCTCCAACCTGTGTCCCCAAGGGTGCTTGCAGGTGGCCGGAGCCTGCCCCGACCCCTGCTGCACGGCCCTGTTCTGCCGTCTCCGGAGCCCAGCGTCTCCAAAGTCCTCCTTCCATACCCTCAACCCATGGCAGCCAGCGGGGTCTGCCACAAAGCCACGCTCTCTGCTGCTGCCACTACCGTCCACGCGGAGGACACTCATCCTGCTAAACGGCACCTTGGCTAGGTGGACACCAATGCCTGGCCCTCCCCAGCGCTGTGGCCCACAGGCTGTCCTGTGACCAGCCCCGCTCACCCCTCGAGATGTCAAAGGCCCCCGTCTCAAGGCCTGTGTCAGAGTGTCCCTTTCCTAGCTGAGCCAGGTCTGTCCACTCACTTGCTCAGGACCCTGGTGAACAGTGCTGCGGGAACCTCCCACGAGGCAATGCTCCTCGGCTCCGCGGCATCTCCCCGGCAGGGCTTCCCACCTGGCCCTGCACCCTGCTATGGTTCAGGGCCCTTTCTCCCTCAGCCCTGGAGCAGCTCCTCCCCTGCCCGAAGCCCCAGTGGGCACATAGCTGCCTCCCTGCCAGCCACACTCCCTGAAGCCAAGCCAGGGATGTAGGCGTTGTTCTTCAGGCCTGTTAGAGCAGCTTCAGGGGTCCTTACCCCAGAAGTGCACATTCTGGATAGTAATGAGAAAGGAGATACATCTCTGCATCTTGATTTTATTGAATTATCGCCTTTGCAAACTTCCGATTCCCCAGGTTCAGCCACGCATCCCCTCGTGTGGCGGCAGGGCCCCAGCGGGTCTGGGCGGGTCCGTGGGGCAGCTCAAGCCTGGAACAGCTGGAGTTACAGGAGCGCATCTCCACAGGCCCTGCTGGCACAGTGCGGACCCACACCCTTCCCCCACGGATTTTGGGGCCTGAGTCCCCCGCACCACCTGATGTCGTCCTCTCCTTGGAGCCCTCACGTGCCAGTGAGCTTGGCAACACCCTGGTGACCTTGGGCCCAGAGGACAGCTGGCTTCACCCCACTGGCCTGCACGCGTACCTGTCACAGACAGGCCTGTGCCCTGCTGGGGCCGATGCCCACCACACCCTGGCTAAGGCATGGATCCCCACACAGCCCACGCAGGAGGTGGGGTGTCACCTCTTGTCACCTGGGTCACCTGCCCGCTCCCTGGCGTGTGCAGTCGTCCCCGAGGATGTGTCCTGGCCTGAGCGACAGTGACCGTCCAAGTTTGTCCACCTGAGAGCTTCTCTTCCCTGCCTTCCTTTGCCCAGTGAGGACTCCTGGACGCTGACCTGACTCCAGCTGCAAGGCCACCTCCACGCCTGCTCTTTGGTGAGCTCCTGTCCTCTCCCACTGACCCCTCTGATGTGACCTCTGCGGTTGTGCTGGGCACTGTCTTCCCTCTGCAACACAGGGGACCTCAGGCTCACCCTGTGTATGTCCCACACAGCCCCAGACAGCGGGTCCTCAGGGAGGCCGGCTCGCTCCTGGGGAGTGGGCACTGTGCCCACTCAGGCGAGGGTGCCAGTGCTGGGGGCCTGGCGGGCGACCGGAGTGCATGTGGCCCAGCCCGTGCCCCACGCCCCCTCTCCCCACGGCTCCCAGGACCTGCCTGCTGCCCCATACCCCTCTACCCGCGCATCCCCACTCAGCCCGAAGCTGCCCCCACCAGGCACCTCTCACATCCCGGAAGTGGCTAGGTGCCAAGGGCGCCAGACAGGGCTGGCGGGCAGCACAAGCCCTCGGCAGGCCGTGGAGCTCTGCTCAGGTAGGAGGGGGCGGGGATGAGGCTGAGCCCAGCACTGCACTTGAGAGCCCACTGCCTCACCCCGGCCCGGCCGCCTGCCCCCTCCCAGGGCCATGGCCTCTGCTGTGGGCTGCAAGCTGCCCCGCAAGCAGCCTCCTGGGTGCCTTCTCGCCGCCTCCGCTCCATCGCCAGCCTCCTTCCCTTCACTGCCCCTGCTGCATGGGTAATGAGCTTGTAATTAAAGCCACTTCTCATGCTGCCTGCCGGGGGGAGCTGCATGGCCCTGCAGGAGACGCGCGCATCCTTCCTCAGGCCTGGTGCAGCCTGGGTGGTGACCGCAGCCTCCGGACACCCGGGGCCTCCCACCCTACCCCTTGCAGCACCACTGTCCTGTGGGGCTGACCCATCCTGCTCCAGGTGGTGCTGCTGGGCCGGGCCTACAGAGCCGGGGGAAGGAGGGTGGGGGCGGGGTGTTCACAGGACGGGGGTGCACCACAGGTGCAGAGGGTACCTGGGCAGCAGGGCTCCATTTCCTCCTGCCACGCTGGCTACCTGGACCCTGAAGGCTCCATGGTGCCCCAAGGTCCTAGTTCTGGCTCCTAAACCTCAGCCCTACACAGTGGAAATCCAGTAGCAGAGCAGGGACTGTGTGTGAGACGGAGGCAAACACAGGGAGGGAAACAGTCGCCACACCCACCAGCTGTCAGAAAAGCGGCCCTCTACACGGGAGTAAGCCCTTCTACGCAAAAACTATGGCCAGGCACAGTGGCACATGCATGTAATCCCAGCACTTGGGGAGGCTGAGGCAGGAGGGTTGTAAATTCACACCCAGCCTGGGAAAATTAGCTTGACTGTCTCAAAGTAAAAAATGGGCTGGAGACAGAGCTCAGGGACAGAGCACCCCTGGGCTCCACCCCCAGTGCTGGGGAGGGGTAAAAGAACTAAGAGTAAAGCCTGAAGAGAAGTGGGGACAGAGGTGGTGGTGAAACCAGGCATGGGGGCACATGCTTATAATCCCAGCACTAGGGAGGCTGAGGCAGGAGGATCACTGCAAGTTCGAAACCAGCCTGGAATACAAAGTGAGCTCAAGGCCAGCCTGAACTGCATAGCAAGACCCTGTCTCAAAAGGACCAAAATAACCTCCACCGCAAAACAAAAAAATGTGGTGAGACCTAACCGCAAGAAGGCCACCTCCCTCCCCTTCCACTCAGCAATCAGCAGTGCTAGGTGGCCATGGGTCCCGAATGCAGGGTGCAGTGGCACCTTTCCTCTCTGAGGGCGTGTGGGTGCAGACAGGACAGGTGGCCTGCTCGCTGGCCCGGAGCCCTTTCTGGAAGCCCCTGTGGGGTCAAGGCTGAAGCGCTGGTGGGAGAACACCTCCTCAGCCAGGACTTGCAGGCAGAGACTATGTCCCCACAGCGCCCCCAGGAGGACAAGGTGTGGCCTGAGAACCGGTGAGTCAGTAGGCAGCGGGTGTCAGCACTGGGGGCTGGAGGCAGAGGTGGGTCGGAGGGCTGCTCTGCGGAGAACAGTGTCACGTGGGTGTGCACACGCAAGTGAGGAGCTCGTCCAGAGGCTGGTGTTGTGCTGACCTCACACTGCACAGGTGGCTGGGCCTGGCTGTGGGGTGTGTGGGGGACAGCACGCTTCCCCACCAGAAACCCAAGGGACAGTGGCCGAGCCAACGAGGTAGATCCAGGAAGGACAGCCGGCCTGTTCCAGCAGCACCAAGTGCTCTTTCCTATAGGGCACATGGCTCTTGGGAGGCTGTGGCCACCAGGCCGGGGACCACGGAGGGACAGCTGGCGGCAGGGAGGCTGGTGCAGGGCGGTGCTCCCCCCCACGGCTGGTCAGGGGCCACATTGCAGGGGATGTGCCGCAAGGGCGAGCCCAGCTGTCCCCAAGTCCCGACACGCCAGGACCAAGTGACAGATGGTGGACAATGAAAGAGGCCACATGCCAATAAGGAAGAGACTGCCGAGGCTACTAGCTAGAAAAGGTTCCTCTCATTTTATTCGGTAATACATTTTCACAGAAACATGATATTATTTACAAATATACAGGTAAGAGAGAGACTGCTGGTCAAAAATCTGAAACTGCAAATATCATCAAAAACTAATTTACAAAAGCCACCCCAGCCCAGGGGGTCTGATGGGTGCTCGAGGAGGCTGCTGGGCCCCAGCCTGATCTCAGGAGGCGCTGGTCTGCAGGTTTTTGGAAGCTGCGAGCATTGCTCTGACTTTGGCCATGAGGTCCTGTGTGGACGAGACAGGAGGGACACGTGGGGACAAGGCGCCCCGGCACACGAGCAGGGCTCCTCCTGCCCAGCACTGGAGGTCCACACCCACCCAAATGGCTCCGGATGGCTCTGGACCCAGCCTGTGTCAGGGCCGGGACAGGGACAGGGACAGGGCAGGGACAGGGACAGCAATGATGGCAGCAGGAGGGGAAATGGGATAAGACTACGCCTGTCTTACCTGAGTGATTTTGCTCTGCACGGAGGAAACGATTGCCGAAGAGATCTGACCTTCTTTTTCCTGAGAAACTCCCCTGGTGCAGAGACAGACAGAGGGTCACTCACACTGGAAAAGCGATAAACACTGACACCCTGGCTCGCCAGAGCTAACGCTGAGAAGCAGGCACTAAGGCATTTAACACGATACACACTTGCAATGTTCTATAAAGCAGACCTGACTCAAAATAGCTGTGTGTGTTATGTGTACAATCTTTCCATTTTCTGGTGTTGAGGATAGAACCAAGTCTCACACGTACTAAGAATGTGCTCTACCACTGAGCTACACGCCAGTCTTTGGATTTTATCTGGAAACAGGCTCTCCTTGTGTCGCGCTGCCCGGGCTGGGCTCAAGCTTCCACTCTCCCATCTGAGCCTCCCAGCGCGCTGGGATCACGGTGTCACCACCACACCTGGCTCTCAAGATTGATTTTTGCACTAACATCACCTAACCACAGGCGAGAAAGGAAGGGCACTGGGAGGAAGTGCTACCAGAAGGGCCACAGCATCACCTGCCTGGGGTGCGGCAGGCTGTCCAGACTGTCTCCACGAGCGCTGGGCCCGATACATGCGTGGTCAGGGAGGCGGGCAACCAAGAGTGGGTGACGCCTGCCAGGTGAGCCTCCCGCGGCCCAGGATACCGCAGCCACAGTAAGCCAGGACAGCAACACCTGTCTCAATGCTGCCTGTTCCACAGCCCTTTGACAGTGTGGATCCTGTTGGGCTGGGAAGCTAGGTAGACCCTGGCCTTTGAGACTGTGCCATCCCTGGGCACCTCAGTGGGCTCTTGTGCCCATGGCAGGCCCTACACCTGTAGGTGGCTCTCAGCCTGTTCTGGTCTCTTGGGGCTTCCTCTGCCGGGGTGCCCTGTTGCTGTCCCCTGAAAACTGACTGCAAGAGGCCTGGTTACCTGGAGCGCTCCTGGCTGGAGCCCCGGCTCTCCACAGGAGAGATGCTGGCCGAATGGGCCGAGGGCGCTGCTGGCCGGTGTGCTGCCTGCTTGCTGGGGGACGCGGACTGAGACCGGGCCTTGGCCTTGGTCCGGGACTGCGACCGCCTCTTCTTCTTCTTCTCGTGGGGGCTTCTGCAAGGAAAACGCTCTTGAGAGAGGGGCGCATCTGTGAAGGCACAGAGTACCTGAGAGTGGGTGTGGGGGGAGCTTGTCCTGCACATGTGGCGGCCTCCGCGCACCTCACCACTCAGAACCGAGGCCCAGGGGGTGCTCGGGGTAGCAGAGGTGTGGGAAGTAGCCTCTCGCTGGGGGGACGCCTGGCCTCCTCTAAAGCCTGGCCCCAGGAGGCATAATCAGCATTCTACGTGCATTTAAAACACCTAAGTCAGGCAGCCAGGGCTTATGCTGCTCTCTTGCTATGCTGATTAAATGAGAACATACAAGACAGGGAAGATGATGAGCACTGAGCTCTGAGCATAAGAAGGCCCAACAGCAAGACTGGTAGACATACGTGGCTGGGCTGGGTCCTGGAGCCACTCTCCACATCCAGTGTCCGCTCAGCTCTGATGGTGCCGCATTTTCTCGGAGGAAAGTCCCCAAATGGAAGCTCCCCACAGAAACGCCTTCCAGACCCAAGCCCACACCTCTCCCGCACTGCCAAGCGCCAGGTCCCGAGAGGCTGTTTTTGGGGCAGGGTCTTACTACGCAGACTCAGCCTCCTGAGCATGGGGACCACAGGCATGTATGTGTGCCTGGTGACAGCCGTGCCCTGTGCAGGCAGCCGGAGCCCTTCCACACCAGGTGCTCCAGGACTTGAGACGCCCCATCCATGCCCTCAAGTCTGCATGGGGCTGTTCATCTGGGCTGCCACACCGCTGCCGCCTGCCGGCAGAGGGGCGGATGCACCTGATTTCCTCAGGCTGCCTGCAAAGGCCCTTCCCATCCAGGCCCATCCCACACACTCGCCTGCCAGCCCCAGCCCTAGGCCAGCTGCTCCTGGGCCGAGCCCCCTGGTCCCTTATGAGGGAGGGCCAGGTAACCTCTGCATGAGTCGGTGGCCTCCCTGGGTCTGAGATGCGCTGCTGGTGGCCAGGCCTGGCTCGCCAAGTGCCAGCTTCTCAGAGGCCCAGCCCGGTGCCTGGGGCACAGGTGCTAGAGCTGACAGCATGCTGCATGGGTGGGGTGAAAGCAGACCATGGGCTGCACAATATGCTGGCACGCTGGGCCCGGGCAGTCTAGCTGCCCGCCACAGGAGGAACCAGCGGGGTTCCAGTTGCTGGGAGACCATGTCTGCGTTGAGTGGCACTCAGGTCAGGGACAGGGTGTCTCCTACGGGACGTGGGTGAGTGCAGATGCTGCTGTCAGAAGCTCCGTGTGAGGGAGGCATCTGTGCCGCACAAGGTTCTGCACCTTTTCTTTTCTTTCATACTTGGTGAACCCAGGTCTTTGCACCGAGCTATCTCCCTGCGCTTTTCTATTTTGAGATAGGGTCTCACTACGTTATCCTAGCTGAGAGGGAACTTGTGATTCTCCTGCCTCAGTCTCCTAGACTCATGGAATTACAGGTGTGCTCCACCATACCTGGCTGTTTCTGCACAATTTGTAATCCACTAAATAATTCTAATTAGTGAATTAAGACTCTAATCCACTGGGATTTCAAAGGAAGTAGCAAACGGAACAGTATGTGGTAGCTCGTGACCTTTGACCAGAATAATCAAGCCCATGGCTGCCGGAGTCTACTCGGCTACCTGAGGAGCAGGCGGTAGTGACGCATGTGTAGCTCAGGAGGGCCCCCCTATAATCCTGGCTCATACCGACTGCAGTCTGACCTCACCGGCGGGCTGTCCCCACCCTGCTGCGGGAATACAGGACCAAGGAGTCCACCCCCAAAATGGCTGGGGCCCGCTGTGTGTGGCCACAGTATCCGCTATGGACAAGCCCTGCACCATCAGGAGCAGGCTTGTGTTCTAGAACATTCCCTCGACGCAGCCTTCAGTCTGTGCCTCTCCCCTCTAGGAGATGACCTTGGTGCCCACCTTGATGCAGACTGCAGCTCCGCAGACCAGACCCCGCCACACCCAGCCAGTAGGCACCTGTGCTGCCTGTTTCTGCAACCTGGGCTCAAGCACCTGGCCCAAGGCTCACTTCAGAGTCCACACCAGGGCGGAGCAGCAGGCAGCAGCTTTGTAGGGACTGGGCCGCTCCTGAGTGGCCGCACTGCCCCGAGCCATCCTTGTACCCCAGCCCTCCCCCAGGCCACCACACAGCAGCGCTTCCGGATGTCTCGCCCGTGCCGCCCCGTCCTGTCCTGCTCCGAGCCGCTCTCTTGGGCAGCCACTGTAGGCCTCTGCCCTTCCCGCGCCCACACGACCTCTGAGGATTCACCCAGGTGGGGCTTGGCATGTGTTTTCCTGATTGAGCAAAGGGAAGCCTTTGATGCCAATGCCAGCTAATCCACTGGCCCTCTTCTTATGTCTTTTTGAGGCAGGGTCTCACTATGCAGTTCAGGCTGGCCTTCAACTCACTACGTAGCCCAGGCTGGTCTCAAACTCCCAGCAATCCTCCTGCCTCAGCCTCCAAGTGCTGGGATGACAGACACATGCCACCACGCCCAGCTCAGGCCTCCTGTTACGGCTGGGCTCGTGGTGCCAAGGGATCCCAAGTGCACGCTCGTTTCTTGAGGGACTGGTATGCAATCCTATTCCCACTCTGGCACCAGCCACTCACATGGAGTGGCTAGGAAGACCTCCCTGTCTTCGGCAAATCGCTTGGGCAGCCTGGTCAGCACCTGCGTGGCCATGCAGTGGGGCCTTGCTGGACTCTCTCCCCATTCCACTGCCCCATCTGCATGTCTGAGGGTGACACATGGTCCCAACCCACTGCAGCTTTCTACTCAGTCTTGAGACGGTGCTGTCACAGTACTGCACCTTTGTTCTTTGTCAAGACTGCTGTGGCTGTTCGTGGTCCTTCTCAATTGCACGCAAGCTTTAGGTGTCCACCTGCCAGCCTCTACAAACCAACGGCCATGGGTGTGTGCGGGCCCAGAGGCCTGTGCGGGCCCACGCATGCAGGGTTCTGAGGAGGGCTTGGTTTCTGGTGGTGTCAAGGGTGGACAGGGCAGGGCTCCACACGGGCGAGGCAAGCACTCTACCCTGAGGTACACTCAGCCATGCACATCTCGTTCTTCAGCGTCCTCTGCTCCGGGTACCAGTTATGATGGCCTCAGTGGTCTTTTTTTTCCTTGCAATGCTGGGAATTGAACACCGGGCCTCAGACCTGCTAGAACCGAGCCCAGGGGTCTGTGACGCTGCAGTCACTTCCTTCTTGAAATCTGCTGGCACTCCCAGGGGAAGTCATGTGGCCAGGAACTTGGTGGAAGGTTTAAATTACACATTCAACTTCCTTAGTAGATGCAGAACTACTAAATGATCTACTTTTTTCCAGGGTCAGTTTTCATTTTGGTACTGGGAATCAAACTCAGAATCTTGCACTTACCAGGTAAGTGCTGCGTTGCTGAGCTGTATCCCCAATCCCAAGGTGAATATGGTAATTTATTTCTTTCAAGAAACTGTCCATTTCATCTTGAGTTGTTGAATTAACTAAAATAAGATTTATTTCTTTATTATTTTTAATGTTTTTGGAGTCTTTCAATCTTTTTTTTTTTCTGAGACAAGGTCTCACTGTAGTTCAGGCTGGCCTCAAACTTGTGGCGATCCTCCTGCCTCAGCCTCCCAGGTGCTGGGATTATAGGCCACCATGTCTAGTGAGTCTTTCATTCTTGATCAACCCAACTAAAGAGCTGTCAATTCTTTAACCATTTTCAAAGAGCCATCTTTTGGTTTTGCTATTTTTTACTTTGTTTCAATCTTATTTCTATTATTACCTTGCTCAAATGAACTTACTGTTTCCTTCTTTCCAGCTCCTTAAGATAAATCTGATCACTGTTTCTATGTTCTACTATGTCAGAGAAACACCGAAGCCACCCATTCCTCTAAGCATGGCTGCCCTGGCCGGACCTGAAGAGACCACACTTTCATTATCATTCCCTGCAAAGCATCACCCACTTCCTCCTGGGACTTCTTTGAAAGAGTAGTTGAAAAGTGTGAGGTTTGGCTTCAAGCACTTGGAGTTTTCTGCTCTTCATGGCTGGGGGCAATGCCCTGTGGGCTGGGAACAACTTGCCCCCTTGGTGCGCCTGGGCTCTGCAGCTGCTGGCCGTGGTGCTGTGTGAATCCCTGTGTGTTCGCTGTGACTGCTATCATGCTCCGGCTGTCGTATCCTCGAGCGAAGTGACCCTGCACCACTGGGAGACGTGGCCCGAGCCCACCCTCACTTCTGTGCACACACACCCAGCAGCCCAGCCACACTACCGGCCCCAGCAGCACACTGTATGGGGCTTTTCTGCCTTGGAATTCTAACTGCTTTCCGAGTTCATGTTCAGAGACGATCCAACCTAAGATTTCTGCCCTACTACTATATTTCATTCCGCCTGCCAACACTTAATCAAAATGCACGAACTGTATGCTGGGTCCTGAGCCAGGGCCTGCGTGTAGAAGGGCTATCTTTCCACTGGACATCCAGTGAAACAGCAGCTATTCTGAGACAGGGTCTTGCTCTGCAGCCCAGACTGGCCTCGAATCCTGATCCTCCTGTCTCAGCTCTGAATGCTGGGATTCCAGGCCTGTGCCACCATGCCTGGCTGAGCAGTTTTTACTTCTATCATCTTGTTCATTTGTCCCATTTGTTCCCTGCAGCCCTCTTCTGCTTCCTTTTGAATTTAGTAGAGCATCTGTAATTGTTTTATAGCCTCTATCCGCTCTTAGCTCTTTCAGTTGGTCGCTGTGGGGCTGGGGCCATGTGCCCTTCAGTACCATCGGTTCCATCGCCCGGATGAAGAACATTCATGTATAACCAAGAGCGTTCAGGCGACAGAGCACCCCCACCCCTCCACGGCCAGACCCACAGCCCCAAGCAGTACTTGCGCACAGCCCTGCCTGATGATGTGTCGGTCACTGAGCAGGCCAACAGGGCATCCTGCCAGCGGGGACTGCAACACCTGACCACTGTTCTGTGAGAAGTACTTTGTGATGACCTGTATAAACGTTTTTTCTACATTTTCACACTGTATTAAATTTTCAATACCCTAGGTCTGGATTTCCAAGTGTGTACCTGTCTTGGGTGAGGGCAGGGAAGGTACCAGGGGAGCCTGGAATACCTGCTGTGCTTGCAGAGTGGGAGGTGCCAACAGCAGGGTGGCACTTTCCTGCAAAGGGCTCCATCGGCCTGATCTGAGACAATGTCCCGTCACAGAATAAGGCAATGCACTGCTGTACAACCAAGAAGCAAAACCAAGGTCCCCACAACTCCCCACAAATCCAGGGATGCTGAAAGAAAGGCGAGGGGACTGCTGGCTAGTAAGTGCAGAAGGAGGGGCAGAACAGAGCAGAAAGTCACTGTCCTGATGCGACAGTGCTCAACTAAGCCAAGACGGGCACTGCTGGGATGGCTCCCGTAGCTTTGCCGCACTAAGGGAACTCATGCTCCGGCAGGAGGCTTGGTGCGTCTGGCCAGGGAGAGCCAGCAGACAGCTGGGCCGTGGGCCGCCTGCAGCATACCTGCCCGCGAGACGGGCAGGACGACGACGACGGGCCGGGGGTCGGGGTGGGGGTGGGGGTGCGGCCGGGCATGCTGAGCTGCAGAGCACTATCCTCTGGGTGCTCCCGCACTGCTTAAAACTTGTCCAGATGGGGTGTGGAAGAGGCGCACAGTGATGAGCGCAGACACAGCCCCGCTCTGGGAGGCAGCGCACCTAGGCAGGGCAACACTATGGCGTCAGTGACGAGAGTGGAGGGAGGACCGAGCATGAGCGGCGGCCAAGCAGTGCACGGCCTGCCTGAGGGGGAGAGGCCTGCAGCCCTAATATAACACTCCCCCTGCACTGCAGGTCAGGCTAGGACAACGCAACAGGCCAGCAACTGCACACGTGGTCGCGGCTACCAAGGGCTAGCGAGTCCGCCAGTTCCTAGCACCAGTGCTCGGGGTTGGTGCATCTTTGAGGCAGTGAAATCCATCTGAACCTCGCTTTCCTTCCGTTACAGGGTCCCTGCAGACACACCAGGGATCTGCAAGCCCTCACATCTGAGCTGGCTGACTTCTAATGTCACCTCCTCCTCCTCTTCCCAAGGTCTGTTTTAGCACAAAGGTTAATATGAGGGCAAAGCAAGAACTCTTCTGCTAAGAGAGATCAATTAATTTTAGCTCCTGCCCTTTACATACACCAACAGTGACGATGAACTGCAAATGCTACCTCACCTGCTTGGGGAACACACTTACGCACTGCAGCAGCTGCATGCACTCAGTGTGCCGTTATAAGGCACAGAACCTCATGTATACACAGAGTGGGCTCGCATGAGAACCTGCGCGGACACCAACCAGCTGTCCAGGTCCTCTGCGGATTTTCCACTTTAAGGCGGCTACCTCTTGTACCACCCAACAGAACCATCCTCGACTGGCACGACCACGTGACACTCCTGTCGTTCTCATTAGGGCAGTGCTGGGTGGGGGTGGGTTTCTGTGGCTGCTGCTCAGAACGAGCGGGCAGTGCAGGCAGCAAAGAGGGTCCCTAGGTGTCACTGCACACATGGGCCTGACAGCCATTCTGCGCTGTGGGTGCTGAAGGGTACCATGGGCTCTTAGGAGCTGAAGCCATGGCCCTACCACCACACATGCCATAGTCCCAATGGTGAATGCCCCGAGAGGATGTAAATGAATGACCAGAGCGGAAGGAAAGTGAGGGGCTTGCCATCTGTGTCGACAGGTGAGGGGCAGAGCTGGGAGGTACCCGGCGAGGATGGTGCTACACAGGACTTGGGGCCTCACAGTCACTGCCCGAAGCTGTCTCACACAGGGGACAGCAACCTCAGACTGTTTCCCTGAGGAACCCCATGAGCTGGGCCTCGGCAGAGGTGGCCTACCTGGAGCGGGCTCGCTTCCTACTGGCCCCGGGGCTACTGCTCATCCGGTAGGCAGTGGGCACACTTCTTTCTTCCCGCCGTCTCTCAGGGGAGTGAGCTCTCCTCCGAGGGGACCGGGAGCGGGATCTGGATGGAAGACGACAGGCACTGGGTTAGCTCTGCAGTCTGGGCACCTGATGTGCACCCCTGTGCATGGAGACCAGACCCCAAGGCGTCTGCAGGTGCAGCAGCATGGTGCTTGCCTTTGCAGTCCTGCCCTGCTGTCACTGAGCTCCAGCCCTCAGAGGCAGAGCCCCTCCCGCCCCACGGAGTGCCAAGGACAGCCCAGGGTGGGCTCCTCTTCTTCCTCTCCCCCCTGCCTACATATAGCTTTCTATTCACAGACACTGCAGCAACAGCTGGTGAGGAGCGGTGCTCAGACCGCCGGCCCACACACCTGTCTGAACACTGGCCCGTGAGCCCCTGAAGGCCCCGGAGGAGGAGGGCCGTGCCCAGAGCTCTTGCCTATGCTGACCTCAGGCTGCTGCTGGAAGGAATGGGTCCGAGCGTGCTTTGGGCACACGGGCATGGGCCTGCACCTTAGCTCACTCCAAAGTGTGCCATCTCATGGTGGTGTGGACTCAGCTACTGCACGACCACTCCAGCCTTCCTGCCTCCTTCTTGGGGCTACAGGACCCATCTGCCCAGCCTACAGCGGGCAGGAAAGGCCCACGAGACCCTTGATTATCAGAGGAGCCAGGTCTTCAATGTGGGCTCCCCAGATGATGCTGGGACTTTTACTTTAGTTCTTTATTCATTCAATGAAATTACGTTTCAGGAAAATCTGCAATAAGCAGGAATCTAGGGGGAAAAAACATCATTTCTCCCCAGTTTCCATGACAACCCACTCAAAAACAATCCAAGAACAACAGCTTGATTTTTGCCATTTAAAGAAGTTCACTGAATCATTTTTGTTACATTAAAAGCCCCGAAACAACACACACAGGTGTGCCAAGATCAACTTAACCCCCACAAGCCATCCTGAGCACCTGGCCCCTCCGGCAAGGCTGCTGCGGAGCTGCACAGGTGAGGGGCATCCCCCCCCCGACCTGCCCTAAGGTTCCTGGGACAGATTACAAAGTGAGGGCAGTTAGACACCTTGACGTTTTACCAGGCTTCCCCTCAAAAGAGCTCCGGGAGTCAAATCTGTTCGAGGCCGAGGCTGCCTGACAACTCTCTCGCCGGGCTGCTGCTGCCACTGCCGCGCGGCTCTGACAAGGCTCCGTGCTCAGGGTCCCTGGGGAGGCCGTGCGCCTGTGGTCGGAGGCACACACTTCACACTCAGAATGGGCTGTGCCAGGCGGGGCGCTATCAGAACTCGGAAAGGGCTCCGCTTACCAGAGCTCTAGCACCTACGGAATGCTTAACACAGGAGTCTACGGTAAGCTCAGGAGGCAGGACAAATACGTTCGTTCTTAACACCTACAGACTCGTGACTACATACAATACCTTGTGGCATGGCTATCGGTGTTAGACTTCTTCAGAGAGTGAAGTGCTGTCGCAGGCTTCCCATCAGTAGGAAGGAAGCCCACCCCAGAACCAGGAGCAGTAACAGCAGCAGGTAATTCTTCATGTGAAAGAAGCTTCAATGATTTTTATTCTGCTAACCAGGCTCTTAACACGGTTACCAGGTCTCAGTGCCAGAAAGGGGGTTCCACCTTACACGAAGCTCAGCTACACAATGGCACAGAGGCTTCTTAAAGACAAAATCGCCTTGGTTAACAAGTTTTGAGCGTATTGCATCTCAGATGCTTCTCTCGGTTATGTATAATCATAAGGGTCTGCTCTCAAACAAGGGCATAAGGAGACCTTCATCAGTGTTAAAACTGCTGAAATTTTATCTAAGTGACAATGAGTATGTTTATAAGTAGCTGCTTTTCACCAACGCTTAACCACTCATCTGCTCCACTCACTGCACCACTCCTAGGTCTCTTGGTAGCCGGGGAAACTGCAGGCATCCTAGCGGCCAGGGCCGGCTCCCGCCAGACAGCCAGGAGGCTCCCAGCTTAGGGGTTACACTGGGCAATGTAGAGCACTGGCTTTACCATCAGTGGCACCGTCCACTTCACAAGTTACAGCAACTGTCCCCACCCCAGCTGTGCCACCGGCACCACCTGGCACTCTTCAAAGCACTGGCTTCTTCCTTTAAGAAGCAGGATTAAAAGATTTAATCATCTTTTACTGGTCTGCTGTGCAGTTTATCACATGGAAAAAAAAGAGGACAGGGAGGAATTGTAACTTTCAGACTAAAACCTGACCTCAGTTTTGCCTGAGTTATTTTTGCTCAAATGTTACTCTTTCTTTCTTTTTTTTTTTTTTTTCTGGTACCGGGAATTGAACTCATGACCTTGCACTTGCCAGGCAGGCACTGTGCCGCTGAGCTAAATCCCTAGCCCCTTCAAATGTTATTCTCTAATGTTAAATATTAAAATAGCCATGCTAACCCGAGGCTCCCCGGGGAGCTAGGCTCTAGAAAGAAACCCAGGTGCTCACATAGGTCCTCTGCATGGACGGCCTGAAGATCCCGAGAACCCCAGGCCGCTCAGGCTGGGCTGGGTCAGGCAGGGCCGAGGGGGCGCCCAGACACCAAGATGAACACTGAGCAGTCTTGGCCGAAGTTGAACAGGTGCAGTTCCAGGCTTTAGTCCTGTAAGTGTGGTCTGGCAACGCTTGCACCTGACAGCTGAATTTCAGTCTTAGGTGTGAGTAAACGACATGACTGTGTCCTCATTCCATGAAGACAGAGACCCTGACCGTTATCACACACAGACGGGAGCAGGTACAACATGGGACAGAAGAGTCATACCCTGCTGCCAGCGTGCAGTACGAGACACCAGAACCAGTGCGCCTGGAGAGGCAACGTGATGACCTTAGGAATCTGAGAGACTTTTGCTGTGACTAGCTCACTCCTGGGTCCTGACCACCTTTCTTCTGGGCGTACTCAGCGAGTGCAGCATCGGTGGTGTGCGTGGCCCCAGAGCACACAGACTCAGGACAGAAAGGTGCCTCCAGGCCTTACCATCCCGCACTATCTATGGGACCACAGCGACTCAGTGCACAAAACAGAAAGCTCCACTGCAGTGTGAGCCACCGCAGTGAGACACGTCCACAAAGGTGGCTTTTTACTTGAGCTTGGAGCAGCCCCTGACAAGGACCAATCGGGCCACTCAGGCTGAAGAAAGCCTAGTGCTTCCTATGGTGACAGAGTGTCTGTACTGGGTTGTGCTACCTGAGAGACAGTTACACAAAAAGTAATAGCAGAAGATTAGCGCTTTCAATGTTTTGGTTGAAACACAGTTGTTTTCACGGGTCAGTTATATATACCAAGGAGGCAAATGCCATTTGCACATTTTATTTGCATCCCCAGCATGGCGAGTGCCAGCCAGTCTAGGACTCAGCAGGTCACCTGCCTCAGCTTAGAGGACCACAGGCCAGCCACTAAACACCCGCTCCACAGAGGCAGAAGACCACACAGGCTGTGTTGGTTAGGCACCAGGTCCTAGGGCCCAACCTACTCTACATTCCAACAGCTGGAAGGTTTGTTTCATAATATTATCAGTCCTTACTGCAGACAGAACCCAAGGCTGTAACACTGAGCTGCATCCCCAGCCCATTACTATTATTACTATTATTTTAGTTGAAGACAGGGTCTCATTAAGTTGCATAGGCTGGTGAACTTGTGATCCTCCTGTCTCAGCCTCCCAGAGTGCTGGGAAACAGTCTTTTATAATAAAGTTGTACTTTGCCTTGTTATTTTATCTATACTGCCAAGCTAAATTCCAAAAATCTGACTTATTCAGTAACCTTTAAAGTTAGTTATTTCCGTAAAATCAACTACAAATCTTTTAAATACTACCTCTCAGTCACTGAGAGAAATTGAAAAGTTTGAGAGTTACAGAATATTCAGCTCTGCTGATGCTATAAAACATTTTCAGTATAGGTCAAATTAAGAAGGAACTGTGGTCTCCTGTCGCGGCAGAAACTGTAATCAGAACACTTTTGACTTAATTTTTTTTTCTTGTACCTGAAAGTTACAAACTAATGAGCAGAATTTGCATCTTGGACTTGTCAGTGCTTGAATATATAATAACACTAAAGCACACGTGTGTGCAAATCTAAGCCTATTTTAAAATAAAAAATTATTGTAAAAGAAAAAGTAACATATAAAACAAGTTGTCTATTACAGACTAGTACAAAGGAGACACAATGACACACCATGGGTGTGAGGAACACGCAGCCACCCACCCCCATCGGGGGCACCTGCGGACATCTTTCACCTTTCTCAGCTGCAGGGAGGTAGCCCTGCTGCACAGGTCGCTGGGTGCTGGTGCTGCGGCGGTCCAGGCCTGGGAACCACAGAGGACCCCTGCCTTCGCCTCTGCATGCTGGGGGGCAGAACATGCCAGCAGAATTCACTGGGCCTGGTGCGCTTGGGGTCTGGTTCAGGCCTGTGGCATTTCCTTTCAGCTCCATCATGGCATAAGAAACTTTCTCAAGTAAGATATTTTCTATACAGTTTTTTATCTGCAATATAAATTTCTTGGAAAATTAAAAAACCAAAAGTACATCAGCAAACCTATTCATTCAATTAAATTAGAATGTTTAGGTATATGTGTCGTGGCAGGAAGCAAAGCGATGGGCCTTCTGCTAAGGAATGATGCAGAGCTGTGGATGAGCCCCTACCCAGAAGGTCCACACAGCCCACTGTGCCTACGTGTGTGGGCACTGCCTGTTCTGTGTGCTGGGCACAGGCAGACAGGCGATGTCATAGGCTGCTCTGCACTTTCCTGTGAAGACTCGACTTCACTTTCGGAAGCACCAGGCGCCATAGTCGAGTCTGGGAGGGAGGCGCTGGGAGTCAGGTGCAGTTGGGGACACACAGGGCAGGGTGGGGCCTACGAACAGGGCGGCTTCTCTAAACCTCATGCGAGTGGCCAGCTCTGCTCTTTCCTTTTGATAGGGAACCCAGCACCTCGCACATGAGCAAGGCCTTTCCACAACAGAGCAGCACCCTGGCGCTGTGCCTCTCCTCTAAATTTAGATCTGAGACAGTCTTGTTAAGCTGTGCAGGCTGCCCTGGAACTTGAGGTTCTCCTGCCTTATCCTCCCGAGGTGCTGGGATTCTGTTTACCACTGCTGTTACCAGAAGCATTACTGCACCTTCTCTAAGAGAGGCCTGGGGAAGGCTCTGTGCTGCAGTGGGGATGCAAAGGGAGCAGACCTGTCCTGCTGCCACCTCCTCACACACCTGTGGACGCCATGGGTCTGAGCACGGACTACGCAGTAAAGGTTTCTTCTGCTCTGAAACTTACACACACACAAGAAACCAGCACAGAGAGATCACTCACACAAGAAAGGACCCAACACGTAGCCTGTGCAATTTTTGCATGTTGAAACTGCTAAGCTGGCTCCTGTGACCTGCTACCACTTAAATGAACACTGCTTGTTTCTTTAAAGCCAGCAGTACCTAAGGAGCTCACAGGGTTGGGTATGATATCAAGAACAGGACAAGGGCACAGGCACACCAACATCCATTGTAAAAACTTCTGCCCAGCTCTACTGGGCAGGCACCAGGTCCTGCAGGGTCCTGTGCATGGGGACACAGGACCCACAAGGTGCCCGGGCCCTGCATACCCACCTTGACCGCCGCACTGTCCGGTAGGCACTGGGAAGCGAGTGCTTTGCTTTTGTGTGGGACCTGGATCTGGACTTTGACGATGAATGATACTTGGGAGAGCGGGATCTAGTCCGAGACCGTTTTTTGTGCTTCTTTTTCTTCTTCTCTTTTTCTTCTTCCCTCGGTGGGTCTCTGCTTTTGCTTGAAGGCCTTTCTTGTGGCTTTACTTCTGAAGTGGGCAAGGGTCTGCTTCCGGTCAGTAGTGGACAGGGTGCAGCACTGGCTTCCTGAAAACAAAAACGAATTCATGGCATCAGCAGAGAAATATGGCAGTGAGGTGCACAGGTGACAACACGTAACTTCAGGCCCTCACGCGGCAGCGCCCACTGTCCCAGGAGGGACGCCCACGCCCGGCTGGCTAGCAGCTTGCCCTCCTGTCCCAGGAAGGTGGCTCAGGTGGAGGAGCCAGCCCTCCCCGCGTGTTAGTTCATGCCCTATCTGCTGGGCTATGGAGAGCCCAGGATGAGGGCACAGCACCAAGGACACTGTGTTGAGAAATCTGCACCTGCTCCTTAGCAACTTTCCTTAAAGCACACTTCATAGCTTCCAACGTTAGGTTTCCACGAGTCAGAGAAGGTCTGAACTGAGCTGCTGTGGTGCTAGGGGAGGGTGATGTCAGGCTACAGAGTGCAGGACACACACACACACACACACACACACACACACACACACACACACACACACACACACACACACACACGGCGCCCAGGCCCAGCGGCCAGAACTTGTGCACAGGCTTCCAGGCAGCATGGGCACTGCCTGGGCACATGTTCCTACTGGGGCACTCCTCTGCTCACTGCAATGAATTTTAACCAGAGCCACAAATGCCATGCACCTCCACATTGTGTGCCTTGAGGTTCCAGCTCTATGGGTTTCAGAAAACCGCAAGGCATGTGTGGGGCACAGCTGGCCATCCTTCCCCTAGGTCCACTCTGACCAGGCCATGGACAAGCACTGCACACAGGGCTGCTCCAGCCCTCTCTCACCGCGGCGGCCCTTCTCAGCTCACCTGCCCGTGTACATCTTGGGTACTGCTTCCAGCCCGAAGCCGGGACCCCGCCCGGACCAGCTCCTGCCTAGGTGGCAGGGGGCCTGTGGTGGCTTGGGGAGGGCGGTGCCACCACGTGTGCAAGTTAGCCTCCTCTCCTATATGTACAACCATGAGGTTCTTTCTTTTTATTTAGGACTAGGGATTGAATCCAAGGCTTTGTTCATACCAGGAAAATGCTCTACCAGGGGGCCACACCTCAGCCCTTAAAACAAAAAAAATATTTTTAAGTTTTGAGACAGGGTCAAAGTTGCCCAGTCTGGCCTTGAATGTGCTCCCCCACCTCCGTCCCCTAAGCAGCTGAGATTACACGGGTGTGTGCCCAGGGCTTGGCTTAGCAGTGTCGTTCTCAAGGCTCCCCCTGGAAGACCTCCAGGGAGCCTGCCTCAGCGAGAGGCAGCTCTTACCAGAAAGGCCTTCCTCATTCCAGCCCTTCAACTTCAGTACCTTTGCAGTTTAGGGTTAAAAATACTTAAAGCATAAAGGTCCCACCAGCCCAGCCTTGCCCTCTAGCCAGCCCTGCGTCACTCTGACACCTATGTTCCCTCAAGAGCTCCTGCCCAGCAGCCATGTGTACCACCCATGGCCTGAGATGCAGACGGCACCCCTATAGGCCAGAGGTGTGGACGCGAGCCAGGCCCCCAAAAAACCAGCTTTCTACATGGGAAAGAACCCATAGCCTTGGCCTCTCCCAAGGAGCATAAACTCAAGAGAACTGAGGCCAGACTCGGGGTGGACAACAACAGTTTAAGACCACAGTTGCCAGCTCCCAGAGTGTTGTGTCCCTGTGGAGACTTGGTGGCTGCCACCCTTTTAGAAATGAGGCCCAGGACTTCCCAAGGAGGGGGCGGGCAGGCCTTCCCATGCACCCTCCTCACTGTCATCAGCACCACATGCTGCAGCCACATGGTCACGGCCAGAAACAGACCAGTTCCAGACAGCCTCAGAGCCAGGGCACAGCCAGGCAGGGAGGGCGTCCCTGAGATCTTTACTGGAGCCCAGCACGCAGCGCTGCTAAGCTTCACGACTGTTTCTTCCGCCTCTACCTGAAGTGATGCCTGTCTTACAACCCTCCACTTACTCACTTGCCCTGAAGGCCGAGTGCCCTGCTGATATGAGGGAATGATCAGAACCAACACTTTCAAAATACAATTTACACTCAGCCATGGGACCTACGTATCCCAGTAAGATGACTATCTTTTCCAGGTGCAGCGGCACAAGCCCGTCATCTCAGCTACTCAGGAGACTGAGGCAAAAGGATTTGAAGTTTGATGTCAGTCTGGGGGACTCAGTAAGACCTTGCCTCAAAAACAAAGAATAAAACAGGCTGGGTAGGTAGCTCAGTGTTAGAGAGCCTGCTTAGCACATGTAAGGCCCTGGGCACTACCCCTAGTACCATAACCAACCAGCCAGCCAGCCAACGAAGATTATCCTTCACCAATAAGACAAAACCAGGTAACTATGGTGACCTTCACAGGCTGACTCAAGATGATTCACTGTGTTGAGCTCTTTGTTTTTTAAATTGTAAGTACTGGAAGAATATTTAAAAATCCAGTATGCAGACCCAAGAACAACAAAAAAAAAGGAAACCAAATATCAGGTGCCATACATGGATGCTGGTGGCAGGGCACGTGCCCACGGTATGTCCCCCGCACTGGGGACCTCATACCACACCCGTTCAGTGGGGTTCTGGGGCAATGTTTGCTGTGCAGGAGGAAGGTGAGGTGGGGAGTACTGGGGCAGTGCCTGCACAGCTGGCCTTGGTCCTGTGCCTCCTGCCCAAGTGTCAGCTGCTTTGGACACTGACCGATGACCACATCTCAGTGCCTCTCCAAGTAGGACTGAGGGTGCTTCTAAGTGCGCTGCTGAAGAGAACAGACGGGCATGTGAGCATGTATGTGTGGGAGCGTGTGTGAGAAATCAGTGGGAGAACAAGCTGTGAGGGAGGGAAGGAGGGTGTGCACGCTGCTCCTCCAGGAGGAGGAGGTAGACCTGCAGGCAGAGCCCAAACCCTCTCGACCCATGGTGCTATGCTTAGGGACAGAGTATGGCCTCAGTCAAGTCCAGCGAGGCCAGAGGGATCCCATTCCAGCTGGCTGAGTGGGGGCAAGGCTCTCCCTCTCTGAGTCAGTCATGAATCTCCACCACGTTCTGTGAGCCATGCAGCCAGCCCATGAGCCTAGCCCTCATGTGGCTTAGCAGCTGCCAAGTGTGCCCCAGGTTCCAGTGTACAACCAAAGCCCTGGCTGGCACTGTAACCACGACTTCACAGCCATCAGACCCCCAACCCCATGTCACTATGCTGCACAGGCTGGGCTCAAACTCCTGGGTTCCGGTGATCCTTCTGTCTCAGCCTCCTCGGCAGCAAGAACTACAGGCATGTACCACCTTGCCTGGCCTCCAAACCATGAGAAAAGCATAAAGCAAGACCGGGCTACTCTCCCCTGTAGGCCTGGCTGGAGGGACAGACTATCCTCCACCTGTGGCCAGCTCACGCAGTGACAAAGAAATGGACTTGGAGCTCTTTGCCTTTAGTTAATGTAAGTAGCTGGTATAGCCGGTGGCTGACACACTGCAGAGTACGCATCTTGAAACATATTCTTGAGGTAGATGTTATTCTGGTCTAACCAGAAGACCCCAGTTGTGCAAATTTAAACTGTTCTGGCAGGAAGAGCCTCAAGGGCAACCAAGTGGCTGCCTCCTGAGTGCAGACCACATCCCGCACCAGCACGTGTTGAGGTCCTGGGGCACCTGCTAATGCCCCTCGCACACCACAGCCAGGGTAACAGCTGCACACGACCAGAGAACCAGAGCCACCTTTCCAGGGTGAATTGAACATCCTGGCAGAGACAGCAAGCAAACCACAGCTGGTATTAAGCAGTGTTTGGGAGAAGCCAGAAAGGAACTCCAGAAAAGCAGTGGTTCATGAGGTTATCAGGGTGCCTGCTGCCCACCACTTCAGTGGTGTGGAAAGTAGTATCAACTGGTTCTTTTTTATTTATTTATTTATTTATTTTTTTGGTTTTTTTCTCCGGTACCGGGAACCGAACTCACGACCTTGCACTTGCCAGGCAGGCGCTTTTGCCGCTGAGCTAAATCCCCAGCCCCTCAACTGGTTCTTTATTACAACCAAGTGTTTACTTGGCAACAGATAAGCATGCAAACCAGCAACCACCAGCTCCTGCAGGGGCCGAGTGACACGCTCGCTCCAGAGCAGACAAGCACGCACCAGGTCGCTGTGTAGGGGATCACTTCGGCACCCTGGGCTGCTCCCGGCACCTCACTTGGGCCTTGCCTATCTTCACACACGTCTTGCTTGCTCAGTGTGCCAGGTGCTTTGAAACCTGGTCCTTGGGCAGCTGCCACCTGCTACCCTGCCCCAGCCCAGAGCCGTGCTTTGGAGACCACTGCATGGAAACTGACTGCACACTACGGTCCCTGTCAATGGACAGTTTCTTACTCACGACCCCAAGTACCTCAGCACCTGGGACCTGCACGGACTCAGCCGACGCTGGCTGACTTTTAATCCTATTTCCTTTTCCAACTCTTATATGATTCACAAACTCAGCAAGGCCAAGAGCTTGAAAAAAATGACTGGAATCTACAAGGGGCCCTGAAGTGCTATTAGCAACAAGTGACTGCATAACTCAGAAGGGGCCACAGCCGGGCACTGTGGTGCACACCTATAATCCCAGCACTTGGAAGACTGAGGCAGGAGGATTTTAAGTTCAAGGCTGACTTAGACTACACAGTGAGACCCTGTCTCACCCTCTTCATTTTGAATTAAGCACACAGATACTCACCAAAGGTAAAGATGGTATGCATGCAGGCTATTTATGCATATGGTCTCTCTTGTACACTGCTTGAAACTTAGGGTATTACTGATAGCTTTCCATGTCGAGAAGCGCACTTTAGGACATCATTTAAAAGCCTGCCTCAATATACAACATGCAGCCACCTCTTCCAACAACCAGCCGAGATGAGCAGGGTGGTGCTTGTGTGGTGCCTGTGGAGACGCAGGCCAGTGGCTGTGTGTGCCTAGCTCTGTGTGCCCCAGCCTGAGACAAATGCGTGTGATGGAGAACGTTCCCAGCGCTGACCACAGACTAACAATGCGGTGCAGAGAGGAGAGCAGGAGATGGTGGCAGGCACGGCGGCAGTCACAAGGCAGAGACACAAATGCCAAGAACCCGAGCGGACTCCTCAGCACCTCTTAAGTCACGGTCAGAACACATCCCATTGCTCCCAAACACACTGGCGAGAAGGTGGGCGAGGGCCAGTGTGGACAGTGTCCACTGCAGGGAGGCAAAGCTGCCAGGATCCTTCTGCACAGCAATATGGCAATGCCTCCCATTAAAAAAGCAATTCCACAGTCAGGGCTCTGCTTGGCAATCCTGGTGGAAGGCAGACACAAGATACAAGACCCAGGGCCAAAGGGATGTTGCTCAGAGAGAGGACAGTGAGGCACAGCAGTTCTGGCCCACAGACAATTCAGAAAGCTGCAGCTCGCCAAGCACTGCCTTAGCCCCTCCATACCATGTTCGTGACCTTTCCTGTGTGGGACGGCGTGCAGGGCACATCCCTTACCACTAGACTTTCAGTCTGCGCACAGACACTGACAGGGCCCCCCTCAAGAACACAGAATAACCAAACAGCGGGACATGGGCAGCTTTACAAAGGAAGGAAAATCTGACACAAAACACAATGGAGGGAATGTGAGGGTGTTATGCTGAGATGGATCAGGTGTAAAAAAACAGCCCTGTGTCTGAGGTTCCTGGAGCAGTCCAGCTCAGCACAGAGAGCAAGGGGGTCTGGGGAGCAGTTTCAGTGGGGGGCGGGGACAAGACAGCTCTGGGATGGATGGTGGTGACAGCTGCACAACTTGCAGATGTGCTCAGTGCACTGCCTGTGCGCTGCAAAAAGGTGGTGGACACAGCAAGCCTTATATGCTGATGAATATTTTACCACACTAAAAACAAAACAAAAAACTATTACGTCCACTGGAATTAAGACAGGACACAAGAGAAGACTTCTGCTCTTCGCTATACCTTTCTCTGGCATTGGCACCTTTTACATCACATGCTTGTGCCGCTGCCTTTGTAAGAGCAAATGTGGGACAATGCCTGTCCCTAAGGCGGCTGCCTGAGTGGTAGCTGTCAGGGGACTGAGACCAAAGTGGGCTGAGGCTTGCAGGTCCCGCACAGGCTCCCACCCGGCAGGCGCCTGCTGCTCACAGCTCTTGGGGTAGGGTGCCCGCTAGTCCCCAGGCCTGAGGCAGCTGCCCCGACCGCGTCTTGTACCCTCTGGACTGAGAATTTTATGTCTGTGTAGCTGGGCCAAATGTGCCAACGCCAATGAGCACAGTGCCCGTCAGAACAGCGAATGAGTCCAGGACAGCCGTCCCTGGGGACTTCCTCAGGCTAACAATATTTTGAAGTCTGACTCTCATCTATGACAATTCCAATTTAATTACAAGTATTTCTGTCTCAAAGCAATTAAAGACATTTATCACCATCTGCTGCTACCATTACATTTTTGTTGCAACAGCTTAACAGCTATAATCTGTATGTATGCATACACATATCCAGGGAAATAGTCCCAAAGATTCAGATGCCTATTTCCAGGGATTACAGAATAACCCAGGCCGGGCAGCGGTCAAAGGTAGGAAGCACTGGGCTGGGCCTGTGCTTGCCAGGAAGCGCCTGGCAGCTGATCCAGCAGACCAAGACACTGTAGGCTAGGACAGGACTCCGCTGACAGCGCACCAGAGCGCACAGGCACGGACGCAGGACTGGTTATGGAGCCTCTACCTGCAGGAACCCCTTAGTGAACCCTCTCCCCAGCGCACAGATGACAGGGAAACGCTAAAGGGCACTCGAGCGTTGCGGGTGTGACCCGACCGCCACAGCACATCCTTGTTTCTTAAAGTTTCTCCCTCCTTGCTACGTACATTGGTTTTATAGCCACAACCAGAAGGCAGACATTTTAGCTAACTGTGGTAGAACATGCCTGTAATCCTCTGGGAGGCTGAGGCAGGAGTGTCACAGGTTCCTGCTCAGCCTGAGCAACTTGGCCACTTTGCAAGAGGCTGTCTCAAAAAAAAAAAAAAAAAAAAAAAAGGTTGGAGATGTAGCTCAGTGTGAAGGCCCTTGGCTCAATCCCAGTACTGAAAAAAACAAAAACAAAAACAAAGCAGTGATGGCTCAAGTTCTGCTTCTCCCTTCACTGTGTCAACAGTGCTTCTGGTGTGGTCATAGCTGTTGCAACTTGCTCCAGAAATCTCAGTGCTGGGTGAGCAAGGCCCTTTCTACTGGCAGGGTAGGTGGCAATGAAGCTCAGAAGGCGTTGCTGGGGCGCCACTGGCTGCACCTGGGAAGCCCAGAATCTGGGACTGCCTCAGTAGGATGCACAGAGTGGATGCTGAAGTGGCATCTGGTCACTGCTCAACATACTGATCCTGCCAAATGGACACTGCTTTCCCCGCTGGAGGGGACTTCAGACAGGCTCCTGGCCCAAGAAAGCCAACTCGGCCTCCAGAAGGCTCAACCCTGAACTCAGGATCCCACACTACCTTTCACAGAAAAATAAAAGTAGCCAAGTCACTACACACAGAACTACCTTGGAATAACCAACTTTGGATATGGCAATGTACAATGGGGAGGCTGAGGCAGGATGATCACCATGAGCTCGAGGCCAGCCTGGGCTACAATAGTGAGACCCTGTCTCAGACAGAGAGACAGAAAGAGCAACGTAAGCAAAGGGGGAAAAGGTTCAGGGCTATGCTATGGGGAAAAACCAGCTGCAAGACAGTGGGACATCTAGAAGTGTGGCTGTGGGGCAAGGGTGCACCGTGGTGACAGGCACGGGGTTCCCCAGAGGTGGCGTCCCACTGTGGGACACAAGCAGAGTGATCAGGCAAGTCACCAAGCCTGCACCCGGCCTGCAGAGTCTGGAGAAAGCCAGTGAGGGTGTGAGGGGTGCTCACAGGGGTGAGGGCTGCTGGCCAGGGACGTTCTGGCTATTGCTGTCCTTTCAAAGGGTGAGACTTCTTGGAACTAAAATTCCTACAGTCTCTATTTGTCTTAAGAGAAAGATTTTGGGTTGGGAAAGATTTTTGGTGAGTGTTTCTAATGCTCCTAGGAAACATCCAGGCACAGCTCCTGGCTCCTGTCCAGGGCCCTCCAGCGGCTGGGTCACGAGCTCCATCAAAGGTTGATGCTCTGCACACTCCAATCCTCACATGAGAAATGCAATGTTGCCAAGACATCCCTGCATGCCCCACGGATCCCCTAAGTAGTCCTGACATGTAGTTGGCTCACAAACAAAATCCAGACAGGGCTGCTATGAAGAACCTAAAAGAAAACCTCAGGGATTTGGGGCTGGGATGTGATGCAGTCCAAGAGGCCCCAAGGAAACCCTAGGTGCACAAAAACCTGCAAACCCTCCAAAGCCACATATTAAAATGTGACCCACTGTGGCAGCCCTTGCTGCCAAGAGCTGGTGTGCCCTGGGAGGTCTTGGCCCTTCCCAAGCCCAGACCCACAGCTGTCAGGGTCAAGTGACTGTGTCTGCTTGAGGCCAAGCCTGGCCACACTGCCCATGCCGTGGCCTCTGTCTCTGTAGAGCTGGAGAGAAAACGAGGGCCACGTGTCTGCTGGGTGCCTGCTCCACTGCTCAGCCCCAGCCCTGCAGTACCCAGGTCTTCCTTCCCTTTCCGATTCAGTGCTGTCCTGGCCCAGGCCCTGGGGCTGGGGCCTCCGCCTGAGCCCAGCAACATGCCTGCCCTGCCCTGCTGAGCTGTGCATCAGCCCGGCCACCTGAGCACTTCCCCAGCAGGCCTGCACCTCTGGAACTGCAGCCAGTACCTGGGTATCTGTGCACCAGGCACCCCCGGGGCCACCACACATTCACACAGACATCTGTGTCCCAGGCAGGAGCCGGAGCCGGAGCCAGAGTGGGAGCCAGGCTGCCAATGCCTCATCTAGCCAGAGCTCCTCAGTGGGAGCCCAGCTCCTGTGTTTCTGGCCACTATACCCCAGTGGTAACAGCATGTGGTCTTCCTTCAACGTACCTCTACACTGAAAGCGCTCTCCTCAATTTTTCCAACTTCTGCCTCAGGAACAGGATTTTTTAAGGTTTGTAAAAATAAAGCCGCTTTTCTTTTGCGTTCTGCCTGAAGTTGCTTTTCCTTTGACTCCTTGGACGCCTGGGCAAGTTTTTCGCGAGCAGCAGCCGCAAGGCGGTCCTCCAGCTTCTGTTTCGCTAAAGGAGCAACAAGAAGTGGAGTTGAGACGAAGGCATTTGCACCCCCCACCTCATGCTCACAGCACCAATAGGCCACAGTTACTCAGAAGGAGCGCGACACAGACGGCAGGCTGGACAGACGCAGCGGGCCAAACACACCCTGAGAGGGTGAGCACAGGAGGGTGCCCTCCGGGGCGGGCACTGGGTTTTAGTGAGCAGGATGCCGGGGCACCATAGTAGTAGAGGCTGGGAGAAGCGCACCCTCGGGAGTGCTCTCTCTCTCTCTCTCACTTGCATACATCAACACTCAAGGCGGCGATGGCTACTCTAGAAGAGTCTCATCCCAAGGACAGGAAGGCTTGGAGCAGACACCCAGGGAGTACAGGCTTGGGCATGGGGACAGTGTCAGCGCTGGAGAGGAAGGCACAGGGGCTGGAGTTCCCTCTCCTAAGTGTTGCTTCATTTGTTTATGTGTACACAGAAAAAGCAGCAAGAAACCAGAATAGATAAAATTTGGCTGTGACTAACTCCTTGAATGCAGGATATACGTTATCTTGGAGCAGGGGCCATGCTGTGCCCTTGGAAGACGAGCCACTCATGCATCAAGGGCAGATGGTTCTGCAGATAAACAGCCTCCCCGGAGGGCATTTCCTGACCAGAGCTGGGAGTTCGGGCTGAGCCTCACCCCGGGGCAGTCAAAGCACAGAGGCCTCCATTAGAGCCCGGCCAGTGCATTAGGCTCTCTGAGCACCGACTGCCAGCAGCACTGTGCTCCTGAGGAGGAGGAGGAGGAGGAGGAGGAGGAGGAGGAGGAGGATGATGGCTCACAGCTCAGACACACCACACAACGCCCACACAGCTAAGCGCAGGCTCGGATTTCCGTTTTAGCAGTCACATTTCCTATTTACTTCTTTTCTTTCAAGAACTTTAAAAGCTGGCGACAAACCTTGCTTTGCTTCTAGCTCCTCCTGGGTAAGTTGGGGCTTCTTTTCCTCGACAACTGCACAGGGCGGGGCCACAGCTGGGCTAGTGTTGGCAGCACTACTAGAGCTTTCTTGGCCCTCTTTGCTTTCTTCATCATCATCACTGTCATCATCTAGCTTAACTCGGTTTTTTTCCAGGGGAAGGAGATCATTTTCTTTGGCCTTGATTGCAAAGCTTATTGGAGCAAATGAAGCTATTGAGAAAAGGTGAGAAGTGTGATACATTTTTAGGGAGCCAGAACATGGAGCAGGATTGCCACAGGCCCTACCCCAATGTGAGCCCAGTGGTGCAGGTGGCAGCTGCAGTGTCGTGAGGCCCTGCTCAGATGCCCCCGACCCAGGGCCAGGCTGTGCAAGCCCTGGAGCACACTCAGCACAGGGCTTGGCCTGCGCTGCAACTACCTGAGACCGACAGCCTGTATGGGCAGGGTCACCATGGGCCGCAGCGGGACACCTGTGGAGTGCCACAGGGGGTCACCTGTCATCTTATACAGTCAAGTCTGGTCATTCTTCTCTCTTGAAAAGCCCTGGCTCACCATGTAACTGAATTTGCATAAATGGGTATATGATGCAACTCCACCCTAGAAGGGCATCTTTACAAAATCCCAACCTAATGAAGCAACCTGTTCTTACAGGGCATAACGCACAGAACATTTTACCAGGTGCCCACTTCATGACTGGCACTACGTTAGACCAGGCTCCATGGCCACAGGAAAACTAAGTCTGTCATGAGAGCTTGGGTGGCACAATTTAGTCCCCGTAGGATACTTCAAAAACAAGACAATGATAAAAGTCCCAAAGAGGAACAGCTTCCCAGCCCACCCCTAGCAAGGCTGAATCCCTTCTTTCAGACACTGGCAACGGCCCTAGTAACAGCTAACTGGGTGCAGTCAGATACTTTCTATTTAAACATCACTGAGCTATTATTTATGAAAGGTATTTAAGCAAGCCACAATCTGGGAACTTCCAGCGCACCGCAGCCAGTGGCTCTCAGGAGAAAGTGATTGCAGGAAGAGAGGTTGGGCCGGGGGAGGGCTGAGATTTACTGGGCAGCTGCATCCCAGTGCTTCTGCCCCCTCGGTGCAGGAACCACCTCCTGGCCCCCAGCCACACGTGGTATTAAGGCTGAGGCCATGCCACCCCAGGTCTGTGACACACAGCCACCTATCACAGACAAGCACCCAGAGCCACCAGTGCCTAAAGGGGAGCAGGGTGGCCCACACAGTGTGCGTCCTTGTTCCCAGAAGGAGCCAGAGTGCTGCGCAGGGCACTGAGTGCGAGCACCGTAAGCTCAGCCCGCGCTCAGAGCCCGGTGTGGGACGCGCGGTCACGCACAACACTGTTCTTGTACGTTTGATGTTTTCCATGTTAAACAAAGTTTAACAAAATGAACCTTCCACTGCCACAGCAATTCAGTCTTTTTAATAAACACAGGGTCAAGGAATATTTTAAAACGAGAGAAAACTTCATAGGAAATGTTCATTAATGAAATCACTCACAGTGCTAGACTAAAATATATGCAGAATGTTTTAAAAACCATTTTTCCCACACCATCTTTTCCCTCAAATTCGAAAAGGAAGCAATCAACAAGTACAGCATTGAAGTGAAGACCCCGAAATACACCCTACTCGCACCGGGTGCACAATGCCACTCACACCCACGCCACAGGTCTGGCACACAGATGAGGCGCCCACTCGATGGGGAGTGGGTTGAGGCAGGGCGTGGCTAACCGCAGCAAGCACCCTGCCCCCTCACTCACCACTGACAACTCCGTGGCACAGATGACAGGACACATGCCCACTCAAGGGAGACAGGCCGAGAGCTGCAGCAACTTTGTGGATGCTCTGCAGATCACATGGAAGGCCCTTCTGACAGCCTTTGCAAAGTGAAGGGTTTCCCACTTAGATTACTGATGGGCCTGATTCCCTTCTGAGCGACCATGGCCCCTGTGAGCTGGCTCCTCCACCTGCGCTCCTCTGCCCTCATCTCTGCCCTCTCGCTCGGCTCCCGTGACTCTAGCGGCAGCCACCCTCTCCTGCACTCCTTGGTGGGGTGGACAGGATGGTGCCAGGCTGACACAAGCTGTGTGGCTGTCACAGAGCAGGAGACCCGAGCAGATCCACACAACAGGCTTCCACTTCTGAGGTGACATTTACTGCTCATCTCTAACTTCAAAAGCAACACTCTCGACGGGAGGCTGTGGACATACGGATGAACAAAGTGGAACCAACTACAATTGAGGTCAGGAAAACCCTGAACACCCTTAGCGGGTTCTCTGGGTGAGCAAGTGTGTCCATGCACGCTGGGACCACACCTCCGTGTCACAGCTGCTGTTTCACTTTGCAGCCACATCTTTCCTTGTCAGCAGTGTAGAAATGAATTTGAAACCATTTGAAAAATGACATTTCTTAGGACAGATGCTGCAGCTTGTGCTGTGGTCTCTTACAATAACCCACGGCCACACACCTCTACATCGCAGAGCACTTTTTCCCTGAGCCGGGGTCTGGCTGTGTTGCCCAGGATGGTCTTGAGCTCCTGGGCTGGGACATGGGCATATGCCACCACGAGTACTCTTTTTTAAGAGGATACATTTAAAAATGTATTTACTGGCTGTTTTTCTTTTTTTCTGTTCTCTGTCCATTTTTCTCCTGTAGCACTCAATTTTCCTTACTGATTTGTAAGCGCTCCTGCTATAGTCAGGGCATTAAGCTTATCTCTTAGAACTCAGCAGTACCAGGAGACGCCTACAACTTAGTTTTATTTAGGCTCTGCCTCCATTAGACCTCTTGCTCTCTCCTTGTGGTTTATGACTTCAATTCTAGGGAGTCTTTTCTAATTCCCAGAGTATAAAAAAAATTACCTGTATTTCCTTCTATTTTATTTTATGTTTTGTACTGGGAATCAAACTCATGACCTTGTGCTTGCCAGGCAGGTACCGTGCTGCTGAGCTATATCCCTGGCCCTTGTGGTTGTTTTTTAACATTAAAATACCGAATTCATTTGGAGTTGTCCTTGTGTGATGTCTTACTTGGTTCTTCATCAAAGTGAGAAGCCTGTTTCTCCAGCCTCAGTTACTGTCTTGAAGGGATTTTTTATAGAGTTCCAGAGACTTGAGTGCTCTGCAGTCTCCCCTGCTGATGTGGTAATTGCAAGAGGAGATGGATGCAGTGCCACGCTGGGGCTCCTGGCACGGGGCCCACCTGCTCCTGCCCACTACTGCTCTCCCTTGTGGACGGGCTCCACTTAGTACTCTAGCACCTCTGCTGGAGTGGCCGTGGTCTGCAGCCCATGAGCGCTGAGAGCACTCGCCAGTCCCTAGCGCTCCACTTTGGTACCGAGGCGGCACTGGTCCTCAAGGGCGCCTTGGCCCACCTGACTGTCTTGGTCTCCTGACTGCTTCGGAGCACTTCCCCAGCATCTCAAACTCTCTCAGGCCTATAGATCGTCGTCAATTTCCTATCTCTGCTTGAACCAACTTTAGCATTTGTTTTCTTTGAGAACACTTTTCACTGATCTTCAAATTCATTCAAATTTGATTTTATACATATAAAATCCTGTGTGCTTTAAAAAATATGTGATTTTTCTTGCTCATCTCCATCTCCACATTTGCTTCCTTTCTATGGAACATGCCCGATGACTGGGCATTTACTGGTCTTTGCTGCTTAGATTCCCACTGGCTCCCTCGTCCTGCTTTCCCTCGACGCACCTTACTCCTCCTGGGCTCTCTTCTCTCCTTTCCCTCCTGTTTGGTACTGGGATCACAAGAGTGCCTCGTGGACGCTGAACACATACATGCCCCACTGCTGGTACTGCACCAGCCCTCCCTGGGTTCCCAAGTCCAGGGCATGGTGTGTGCTTTTCTTTGAATAAAGTCTCCCCAAGCCCTTTTTTGAGTTGTCAGACTGGGCTTGAACTCGGGATCTTCTTGGCTCAGTTTCCCAAGCAGCTGGGATTACAGCCACGCACCACTGTGCCGGGAGCATTTACTAACTTCTGACATGCAGTCTTCACCCGTGCTCAGCTCTGTGGCCGTGACTGTGGAGCGCAGTCAGGCCTAAGCCTCCTGCTCCAGCACTCGGGACTCTCTCCACACTTTCCACATTCCAGAGGACCCTGGCTCCAGAGCTGCCCATGGCAGTGGGTGGGGCATGCTGGTGTCTTCCTGCCCCTTGGAGGGCAGCCTGCCATTCTCTACCCGGATACCCTTCTTCCACACTTTTTGTTTCTTGTGAGATTTCTGGGAAACTGAGGCTATCTTCCATCCAATCTGACTTCAGTGTTTTCCTTGGTTTTAAGCTCAGTGGTTTATTTCTTAGCAGTCTTCTGCAGATGGGTGATGCACGTTGGGCTAGCTTCACAATATTTTTGATTGTGAGAAGAGAAATCACCAATGAGAATCTAACTCAGGACCTCGTGCTTGCTAGGCAGGCGCTATGCCACTGAGCTGTATCCCTGGCCTTGTATCACAGACACTGGGAAATGAGAAAACGTTCAAATGAGAAGGGGAAGGAAGAGGGAAGAAGGGACAAGAAAAAAAAACCCAGAAAAAATGGAAATAAAGTTTCTGTAAATAGAGGGGAAGAGGAGCTGAAGGGAGTAGGGGAACGGAAAAAAGGAGATATACCACATACAGGCACAGACTTCCTATGGTGAATGTTACCATTAGTTATATCTGGTTTTTCTCTGGTACCGGGAACCGAACTCATGACCTTGTGCTTGCCAGGCAGGCGCTTTGCCGCTGAGCTAAATCCCCAGCCCCCACCATTAGTTATATCTAAAATGTACCAATAAAATGAAAACAAAACAAAAGTATGAGGCTCTGGTGGCAGGGTGGGCTGCTGCCGGTGGCTGCTGTGTCTCTCAATCCTCGACTCCAAGGCCTCACAGGGACCCTCTGAATGCATTTCTTCTAGGGGTCCTGGCCTCCTGCCTAGACCCTCCATTTTGACAGTGGCTCCCTAGAGTCAGTGCCCCTGAATCCCAAGCCGTCTTTCCCCTCTCTGTGAACCAAGTCCCACAGCCACTGTCTTGACCAAATGGTGGCCTGGCCTTGGTCTCTGCAGCAATGGCGGCTGCGGCCCGTAAATGGTCTGCACATGTTTGCAGCACTGAGAGCCAAAGATGTCCAGGAAGGGCAGGAGACAAACACATGTGCTCTGGCAGCATTCTGGATAATGACTGCCTCTGACAGCTTTGTTCCCCACAAAGGTCCCTCTGTGAGGCAGGCGTTGCTGCCCAGTCCACTTTTCTCTTACTGCAGCTCCTTTGCCTTGGTCTCGTCACCAGCCTCGCCCCGCCTGTGTGCTTCTGCACGCTGCGACCAGGTCACCGAGCCACTTCCCCTTAGGTGGAGACACCTGTTCTCACAGGCCCATTCCTTCCCAGCAGAGGAGCCCCTGCTCCCGGCCCCTTCCACACACCAGCCACCCAACGCACATCCCAGGACAGCAGGGTGGCCAAGTGAGGGTGAGGGTAAGCCTGAGCCTGAGGCATGGCACACTGGAGGTGCTCAAGGGACCGTGCCACTGTCTGCACAAACATTCGCTGCACAGGTCTGCAGGGGATGAAACCACACTTTAAACTCTGTAAATATTCCCATTACACTGCTTGGAACAGGCTGCTGAGCAAACAGAGCCCAGGACCAGCTTTACCAACAGGGCTAAACCCCTACCACAGCAGAAGAGGAGCAGCACCTGCTCCATGTCAAGGGTGCCCTGCCTCAGTGGCCCTCACCTTTCACCAGCTTCCCGTCCACTGCACCCTTACTGGATGCCGCCTCCTTCTTTCCACTGGGGCCACCTCTGCCCCCCACCTCAGGGGCATCCTCAGGGACACTGTCCTCCCCGGTATCACTGGGCTTCTCTGGAGCAGCTTCCGCCGGGGCCTCTTCTGGTGTAGACACAGGCTGCAGAGGTCAGACATCAGACACACAAGTCACCATACAGGAGCACTTCCACCTCTCCCGGGACACAGAGACAGCAGGAGGGAAGAGCCCACCCTGCACCGTTTGTGGTGCTGACCTTCCCCCAAACCAGGCCTCAATGCCCTGCCTTGGGAGCCTGATTACCGAGAGCACTTTTGGAATCCCAAATTATCTCCAACGCCTGCTGATGGGTCAATTTTCTTCAGTTTGAGCAATTGGAGATAAAAGTTAGAAATCAACAGATAAGCAGGGCCTCCAGGTCTCTCTGAGATAACTAATCGTGAATATCAGGTGCCTGTGCCACATGCAGAATGAAGGCAGAAGGTGGCTGCTGGGACATGGCACACGGTGGTATCCAGGGCACAGGCTCATGCTGGCACCTGGCACACTCCCAGCACACAGGCCACGGTCGCTGTACACTTGTTCAGTGACCACAGCACAGTACTTGAATCTGGTTGAAAGGAGCTCCACAGAGCCGGCAGCCAAGAAGACCAATGCATGAAGAAATGGGGTAAGTGATCACCAACACACTGCGACCCTGAGGGCAGCCAGCCCAGGTCACCTCTGGGAGGCGGGCCCCCACACACGAGGAAGCCGGCAGACAGCGCCAGACGGACGAGCCCTTCAGCCACCAACAGCACAGGGGCTTGGCCACCTCTGCAAGCAGCGTCTGCCTCACAGCGGGACACATACCTGTGTGCTGTCACCCCCTTCCTTCTGGAGGAAGAACTGCTTTTTAAACTCATAGTAGGCATTATACTGGTGCCACGGCTGCAGGAACTCAAACCTGTGAATGGAGAGCAGGTCACTCATCAGGCAGACGAGCGTCCCAGGGCACCTCCTCAACGCTGACGGTGACACGCAGCCTCACAGGGGCCCCCATCACACCCTACACCCAAGGGAGACTGAGGCGTGGGGGCTGTGATGCGGTGCAGCTCACGTTCACACTGCACTACCAGAGGCACAGAGCATGGTTTGACTCTTATAAAAGGTCTATGCCTAGATTTCCAAGAGGGGTCCTTGCGGCAGCTTTTCATTTCAGTGTCAACAGTTTCACTTTACAGCTAAAACCCCTCCAGCTCTCGAGCAATTTAATGAGATAAGAGTACGTTTAATGAGATATTATGAAAAACCTAATTTTTTCTTTTTTAAAACAGGGTCTCACTATGTAGTTCAGGCTGCCCTTGAACTCATTATGGAGCCCAAGCTGGTCTTGAACTCGAGAGAATTCTCCTGCCTCAGTTTCCCAAGTGCTGGGATTACAGCCGTGACCCAGCATGCCTGTCTTGGTACTAGGGACTGAACCCAGGGCCCTTGCACTGTGCTATATCCCTGGTCCTTCTTGTTTTTTATATTTTGAGACAGATCTTGCTAAGTCTCTAAATTGCCCCGGCTGAGCTTGATTTTGCAATCTTCCTGTCTCAGCCTCCCAGAGTTCTGGATTACAGGTGTGTCCAAGTACATGTTCAGATTTTTTAAAAAGTGAAATAAAACCCCCTAATTATGTTTACCCAACATCCTTAAAGCTCATTGTCCTTTTGGTGCTGGGAGCAGAACTCAGGGCCTCCTACTCAAGTGCCCGCCGGAGTCAGGCCCCCAGCCCAGCGCGTGAAACTCTGCTCTCACCTCTGATCATTCTTGGCACGAACACTGGTCTCAAATTTAAGGCCATTCCGAGCGACGTACTCCGCCAGCTTGTCGATCACAGGCTGAATGTCAGGCGGTGGGGGGATGACGGCAGCCACGGGAGCAAGTGCACTGTGGGGAAGAGCGCGGTGAGCCAGCTCACGCCCCAGCAGGCATAGAGCCAGCGCAGGGTGCTGGGGCCCTCGTGACCTTGGTGGCCACAGGAACACGGGTGATTCTGAAGACAGCAGGTCCCCTAACACTAACAGGACCAACTTATGTTGCTGACGGTGATGATGGACTTTCACGGCAAAGAGCAAGACTATGCGAGCCACAGTCAGACTTGGTCTCTGCACCTTGACCAACCTCCTGGGAACAACCCAGAGTGAGTCACACAGTCATTTGTTTGTCACGTTAAAGCCAGCACGACTCAAGACCCTTCCTGCCCAGCTTCCTCAGCACACCGGCAAGTTCATTTCTGCAGGGCACTGGGTGTTTTGCTGGCTTTCCCCTCTGATGAGTGGGAGACAAAGCTCCCCTGGGTGCCAGCCCACCCTGCCACCCTGTGGCCTATGAGCTCAGAGGCGCGGGTTTTATGAAGCCTGCCCTCTGCTGACTGAGGCTCAACAGAGGACAGCCCTGGAATGAAGGGGGCGGGGTGTGTGTGGCAGGCTCATGCTCCCAAGTAGCCAGACTTCATACTCACAATGTTCCCTCTCTTTTTAAGACAGTCTTGCTGAATAGCCTTGACTGGGCTCAAACCTGTAACCATCCCACCTCCGCTTCCCGAGTAGCTAACATCTTTCAGGCATGTGCCATCGTACCCAGCTTCTTGAAAACCTTGTCAATTTCGCCTTTAAGCTTGGGCACAAGAATGCTACTGCTCCAACAACACAGGCAGTTTAGGCCCAGAGGCCCAGACCGAGCACGCACCTTGTGGTGGTGGTGGTGGAGGTCGCCCCGCTGCTCGTCTCAGCGGTGGTTGGGGGCGGTGGTGGTGTGGTCCCGGGAGGTGGTGGTGCCGTGGTCGTCACTCCAGGAGAGCTGGACACAGTCACCCCAGCAGGCAGCGTGCTGTAGTACGTGGCCACATTGATCCCCGGGGGTGGCGGTGCCAGGCAGTAGGTGCCGTCGGGCAGCATGTAGTAGCTGTAGTACATGGCTGCCACAGGTGCTGTAGGGACAGCAAGGTGGCTGAGCGAGGTTGGGTGGCTTCTGACTCTCCACACATATGCAGGACACAGCACAGGAGCAGCCAGCAATGCCCTGATACCCCGGGCCGAGTGGAGATGGAATGGGATGCCCAGAGTGCTGCAGGACGTCCCAATGAGACTGTAGTCCCCCACTTTGGGGTACACCGGGGGGCGCTCTCTGGGAGTTACTGGTTGACCTGTTCCTACACAGCTGGCCCAGGGGACCTGGGCTCTTAGGGGCAAGCGAGGGCACTGCCTTGGCCTGATCTTCTCTGGAACCTCTTATTCCACAGAAGCCATGGCACCTGCCATACTGATGCTAACATTACCGCCCCTGCGTAAGGCCTCGCGTGTGCCTGTCCTCAGCGGCAGTGCGCACAGCGTCTATGCATTTTGTGTACAAATGTGAGCATTAGAAGGTCCCGGCACACTGGCTAACAGTCATCAGTCCAGAAAGGTTTAGACATTCTTTCTGGAAAATGTTCAAAACCAGTGCCAATCACAGGTTGAAGGATGTAACAAGGATTTCTATTTGTAATCCCGCTGCAGATAATCAGGGGTCTGGCTACACAGAGTCTAATTTCTCCTTCATTAGGGGATGGCAAAAGGGTTTTCCAATGAAAGAACCATATTTTGATTTTCACTTGGTTCACTTGAAAACAGTAACACTGAAACAAACAGGCTGATCCTGCATGCTAGGCAGGAAAACACGACAGGCACATTAACACCACTGCTTTCTTGAGGAACACTCAAAGGAGCCTTCTGCTGTCACTCTCCAGCTCAGTATCACAGGGACAGTGGAGACACAGAACGGCTGTGCTAACTAACTCTTCAGAGCAGCGTCTGCCCTAGGCAGTGTCCACACTCTCCTCCCACCAGCACTCTGGGCCCCATACAAAGTGGGCAGTACAGGTCTCTGCTCCCGCCTCTCTAACCCAGCAATGAGCACAGTGTGTTGGACGGCTCTGTGTATTTCAGAGCGATGATGTCCAGCATGGTGCTGGGTTTTTCTCCACCTCTCCACACCATCCCTCGGCGCAGACTCTGTCCAGACCTTCGTTCAGTCTGGGTGCCCTCCACCTTCCTGTACGTCCCACGAAGGGCTGCCGGCACAGCAGCCACCTTGCCCCATGACAGCAGCACCACTTTGTCCTTGGGCCCCACTTTCCTGTCCCCACTGCCACCTGCATGGTGCCTGGTCCACAGCAGCCCTCATCTGCAGGCTGCCTGTCCAGACCCTAGGCGTTCTGATGCTATGCCCAGTGCTGACCCCGAGAAGATCCATGTCCCCGCCTAGACAGACGTACCCGACTGTGTCCAGCTCAAAGCAGGTGCAGCAGGAGGTCAGCCCAGAACCAAGAACAGGGCACTCTTACTCCCTCTCCCTCACCTCTGCACTGTGCTCGCCTCGAGGAGGGGAACAGCGCCTCGGGGACAGGTGGGGAACACCCAGGTAAGGGATGTCTGCACACAGTGCTGTGATGCCACCATGGGCAGTGTGGCAGCTGAGATAACATGCAGAGACTCCAGGTGGGTGGTGGACCCACGGGACACACCACAACAAATTCATGTCACGGGCGGAAAGCAGTGGTACTTGTATAGCTGTCACCCTTCAAATCTAAGAACTGTTTATTTCTGCTCTCCAGAGGCTAGTGCTGACACTTAAGGGGCTGCGTGTGCCCTGGCATGCATACTTCCGGGGATCCTGCACACACGGGAGGGGATGAGACTGAGCAGAGCAGACCCTTGCTGTGGCCTGAGGGTCTGCAGGACTATTGCCCCAAAGGAAGCGAACACATTCCTGCTGGCTTAGACCACTGTTGGTAGGAAAGACACAGCCATGCCTGGAACAGCCCTGCATGTTACACCAGTGGTTCAAGCTGCCCGGCAGGGAGATGTAAGAATTCTGCCCACTGTGAGCACATTAAGAGAAAGGACTAGCACTCTGGGAGGCTGAGGCAGGAGGATCGCCTCGAGTTCTAGGGTGGCCTAGGCTACACAGTGAGTTCACGACCAGCCTGAACTACATGAGACTCAGAACAAAACACAAACAAGATACAAACAAAAAAACTACATCCCCATGACACTCGGTCTGTGTGAACACACCCACAATGCTGGCACAATAGCAGTGGCATCCTGGCACTCCCCCGAAGGTACCCGCTGCTAAGTGTGCATGGCTATTTGGATTCTGATAAGTCATCTAATATAAATTTTGGGTCAGAGTAAGGGCTGGCAATCTTCTCCCCAGAAAACGTAGAGAGCAGATACTTCTCTTGTGTACCAAAAGGTGAAAGTGGGAACATCTTATAGACACCCATTACAAGGCTAACATTAGAAATACGATGTGCCTTGGTCCTGGTGACAGAGGGCACTAATGAGAACGCAGGCCATCGCATGCGCTGAGGGACTGTGCCCAGCCGGGCTCCGAGGCCTGCCCTGGCCAGAGGCTACACACTTAGGATTTTCTACTAAACCCAAAGCCAGAACACTCTTCTCCTCCCACACGGTGTTTTTGCTTTTGTTTTTTTACAAGGTCTCATCATGTAGTTCGGGCAGGCCTTAAACTCATGGCAATCCTCCTCTCCTAGCCTTCCAAGCTTTTCAGTTTCTTTTACTTTGGGACATGGTCTCACTAAGTCACCAGATGGCATCAAGGTGACTAAGCTGGCCTTGAACTTGTGATCCTCCTGCTTCAACCTCCCAGGTGGGTGGATTACCAGTGTGCCTCTCTATACCCAGTATGTCCATAGTTTTTATGTAGGAAAATGTCACTGCTCTTCCCATCCCCCAGAACATGTCATGCAGTTCATCCTACACCATGCTGCGTATTTTGCAAAGGAGCTGGAGCGTAGAGATTACCCCATTACAACAGAGAACTCTCCCGAGTGGTCTGCTAATGGCTCTCATAGGTCACAGTGCCGCTGAGAAAACAAGTGCTGACGTGCAGCCACACAACTTCATCCGCTTTGTCATAACTTCAGACAACCCACTCATTCTGAAAAAGCCTCCAAGCGAAAGGAGACTTGTTTTGACCTCGCCAGCCTGCAACGGGGAGGCTTGCTCTGTAGGGCAGAGGCTGCCAATGCTGCTTCAGATGTAGGGGTGCTGCCATGGAGTTCCACCATAGCTCCGTCTCTCTTCCTGGCAAATAAGTTTCGGTGGCCTCTATACTAATTTTACATCTTTATCAGTGATCTTCAAGTAAAAAGTTCTGAGGCTCCGGAGCCATTCTCAGACTTATTATTCAAAAAGAGCTTCGGAGAGTCGTGGAGAGAGCAAGCAGCAGAAGGGCTGGGGATCAGTCATGCCTGACAGGCAGTGTGACACCTCTCTGTGGGTCTGACTCAGACATTTTCAGGACCCCACACAAGAAGCCTACAGGGTCTTCCAGAGAGGGCGAGCAGGTCCAGGAGAATGGCTATGGGGCTGCTACGGTGGCAGGGGAGGAACATGACCACAGAGCCCTAAGCATTCTGGGCCACAGCTGAACCAGGAGAACCGAAGCCTGGCAAGCATGCAGGAAGGCCAAGCAACCAGAGGAGGGGAGGGGCAGCACTGAGCAGGGGCAGCAGCGGGCCTGCAGCCTGTTTGTCTGTGGCCCATGACCCTGGAATGACTTACATTTTCAATCGGCTGGCGAACAGACCAAACAAAACACTCTTTCATGGTGTAGAAATGACATAAACTTCAAATCCCAGCATCCGTACACAAGCTTTACAGTTTTCCATGGTCTGAGGCTGCCTTCACACAGAGCCATCTGACTTACCAGCCTGATCTACACAGGACTGTGGAATGCCACAGGGCTGAGAAACAACGGAAGACCCAAAGACACCGTCACATGGCTAAGGAAATTCCCACAACGCAGAGTACTAACCGCTATATGATCATGGCCGACCAAGGAAATTCAGACCACAAGAGGTCACCCACATGGAATACAGAACCGACCAGGCTGGTACCAGAGATGGAAGCGAACGGAACAGGAAACTCTGAGCGCAGTCAGCAACTGGAGCAGGAAAGAGGCCTGAGGGGCCTCTCCTGGGTTGGGTACACAGCAGAGCCAGAAGCATTGAAGGTAAAGGCACCAAGGTCCCAGCTACTGCCCAGGAGGGACAGAGGGGCGAAGCTCTCTGGAAAAACTCCCGAGGGAGCACTTCCAACATGAAGGCAAGAGAGTGCCAGCAGGCCCGCAGATGGCAGCCAGCCATAGAGCTCGCCGCCCCAACCAGCCAAGCTCTGGGCTTGGGTCAGGGACAGGTGCCACTCCCCGATGGGCTGCCCCTTGCGCACAAGGGCTGGAGGCTGGTATTCCTCACAGCCCCTCAGCCACAGCCCGGCACACCAACAGCCCGCATGGGGGATGAAGATGGCAGGGACTTGGCCCCAGCAGGGCACACCTCAGCCGGGGGAACTTATGGGAGTTAAGAGCCGGGGGGGCCCAGGAGAGGCATTTTTTTGGGGACCAATCTGCTCCAGTTTCACAGTAAACAGTGTTGCAGGTAAAAGCATGTAATGCAGAAAACAAACCTACAATCATGACCTCCGAATCTTTCTCCTGATTATAAAAGGATCTTTCAGAACTAAGTTTTTCTGGAGACAGGGTCTTCCTATATAGCCTAGGCTGCCCTCAAAGCCTTGATTCTCTTACCTCAGCCTCCTGAGCACTGTGAGAATTTAAATCTTGAGTTATGTGGAAAGGAAGTTATATCTGCAGTTCGGCAATTACTTCACTGTGGTCCCGGATTACAGGTTCTTCTGTTGAGCTCAAGTAAGATGGAACTAACTTCCCCTCTAACACAAACATTCGAGTGACAGGCTTGTCACGGTTTGTGTCTACATGCCCCCTCAAAGCCTCATGCAGCCATGGGGCGGGCTTCAGGAGTTTATGACTGACCTGGTCCAATGCTGGGATTACGGGTGTGAGTGCTACACCCTGCCTGGGGCGGGCAGACTGCAAACAATATAAGGGACGGAAAGAGGCTAG